GTGGTCCCCCTGTTTTAGCTGTGGCAGGTTTGGGTGTGATGTAGCTGTTTCAAGGTGGACTGCGGTTTTGCTAATAGGTTAGACAGTGGATTTGTGTGGGATGGTTTGCATAGGGATGATCCTGCCTCTGGCCAGGGGTTGGACTGTGATTTCCAGAAGTCCCTCCTAGCCCTGCTTTTCTATGATTGTGACCCACTCCTGGCTAGAGCCCCTTGGCTGCTATGGGACTGGGCAGGCATAGGGGCTTGGAGCATGAAATATTTCTAGGGTCCTTTAGTTTCTGCCAGAGCTCATTAAACTGCTGTCTGTCACCATTTGCCTGTTGGGACTGCATATATGATGTGGTGCTGGCTTAAAGCATGTGGTCAAATCTACCTCCTACTTCCTGGCCCCAGCACTGAGAAAATCTATAACATTTCCCAGGCTCCCTCCTTTGCTTTGCTGGCTTAGGGCTTCTCCTTCTCATCCCTGAATTGGATCCTGGGTGTCTCGAGCATCCAGCATGCTCTGCTTCCATGCACACTGAGTAAGTGCATCGTTTGCTTGTCTGTATAGCACAGCCCCATCCTCAGCTAGTTACCTGTTACCTGCTCCAAACAGGCATTTCTTGCAAAGCAGTGCAGTGCTCAAGGGCAGGGAAACTGGTCTAGTTTGTAGCACAGTTGTGTACCTTCTTAAGGGCATCATGGGTAAACCTGACAAGGAGCTGGCAGTTTCCAGGCTTCTTCAGGTGCTCTGAAATGACCTGGACCCAGGCTGCAATTAGAGACCTAAGGCCACCTGAAAAGCAAGGTAATAAGCCTTAATAAGGTGCAAAAAGATTGCCCCACTATTCATATAGTTCACAAGTATTATTTAAATGGAGTTCAGATAAAAGCAGGGCCTTTCTCCCAGGCCCAAGGCTCCTAGTTGAAACAGCACCCTGAACAATCTTGGATCATTAAATGCTGCACTGGTTCAATACTGGTCCAGTGGCCTGCATCCAGGAAGAGAGCTCTGCCTGCACACCAGATGCTGGGACTATTTGCTATCAGAGTTGAGCATAAATGATTTCTATGTGTGCTTTGCTGATGGGGATGTATGTCTGACTCTTGGAGATCTGCCTTGGCTGGCATGCCGTCTGTTGGGAAAGGAGTTTGCAAAGGGAGATGCGACACGTGGGAGTTCCCTGCCGGCTTGTGATTCAGCATGGATTTTTCCTTTTTTACTCAGAAACTGAAGGAGGAGACGGACAAGATCCAGGAGGAGTACGGGTACTGCATCCTCGATGGGCATCGCGAGAAGATCGGGAACTTCAAAACTGAGCCTCCGGGGCTGTTCCGGGGACGCGGGAACCACCCCAAGATGGGGATGCTGAAGAAGAGAATCATGCCTGAGGATGTGATCATAAACTGCAGCAAGTGAGTCCCGTCGGGTTGATGCTGTCTGGTGTAAATGGGTGTAGCTCCACTTGTGTTCAGGGTGTTTGTTTGCTGGCTTAGCCCAGCTTTTATTCCTGTTGCGTGGCCCATCTGTCACCAGTAAAGCTAAGCTACTGCTTTGCACTGCTGTTATCCTGCAGATTTCAGTGTATAGGAGCCTTCTGTCTCCCCTGGTCCTGCACATGCATTTCATAGCCAGCTACTTCCAGGTTCAAAGGACTCTGGGGTCCCCAACTCCATACCAGCAGCTATTCATGGGCTTGTCCAAGGGCCAAAGAAGGCAGCCTAAGGAGATCTCTCCTACTTGGCATGCGCCTTTCCAAGTATTGTCCATCCTGCTCCTACCCTTTGCTATCTCAGGAATGATTGTGTCCTTCCTTCTGCTTCCTGGAGCCTAGAGCTGTCGGCTTGGGGGCACTGAGTCCTTCCCTGAAAGGAATAAGGTTAATTATACCATAGCAGGGAGCTTCCCTGTTTCCATGTCTTGGGCTTAAATGCAGTCAAGTATCCTCAGTAAAAGCCACTTCTGCTCTCACACCAAGAAGCTGACTTTCATTCAGTGGCCTTCAACATTGAGGACACACAAACCTGCTTGCTTTACATAGGAATGGAGCAGCAAAGCTTTTAATTAATAATCCTGAGCTCTTAAGAGCAAACTTTGCCCGTCCTAAAGATGCCCAAACCCCCTTTGTTTCTCCTGGGCTCTGGGCTGGGTTTGCTGTCCCTGAACAGAAGGAATCAGCAGTGTTTGCAGTTCTTGGGCTTGTTCTCCTCTCCTCTCTCCCCTCCAACCAGGGACTCCAAGATCCCGGTGCCCCCAGAAGGCCACAAGTGGAAGGAAGTGCGTTGCGACAACACGGTCACGTGGCTGGCCTCGTGGACGGAGAACATCCAAAATTCGCTGAAGTACATCATGCTGAACCCGAGCTCCAAGCTGAAGGTGGCTGGGAGTTTCCCTTTATGGCAGATTGTTTGGCCACCCTCCCATTGTGCCGGCCACTGATTGCTCAGGGACAAGTGCAGGCTGGGTTTGAAAGGTGCATGGGGGATGGAGAGCCTGATTTAGGAGAACAGAGGAGCACAACTGCTATGGCACTGCAGAGTGCAGGTTGAGAGGGGGCTATGACCTCTCTCTATAAATGCATCTGAGGCTTCAATGCAGGAAAGGATGGGAGCTGTTGAAGGTAGCAGCCAATGAGTTGGTGGAGGGGAATGAATTAAGGCTGGAAATAAGAAAAAGGTTGCTAATTACTGTCTGCAGTGGCCAGGGGCTGGATGGGTTGCCTTGGGGGGGGTCTTGCTGGTCCCTTTTAACTGAGCTCTTTTGTGTGCATGGGGATTGCGGAGCAGAGATGTCCTCCACCTCGTGCATCTCTGCTCTGGAGCTCTCGTTGCATCGCACAGGTTCCCAAGACAGCCACCCGGCACCCAGGCAGGGATCCTGCATCTCTTGCATTGGGGCTTTTGCAGGTCTTCTGTTTACCCTCTTAACTTGGGACTGTACTCAGTGCTGTCTTGCATCCAGTATGTTTTACCTGCTGTGGGAGAAGAGGGCTGAGTGTCTTCTCTCATGTAAACATGTGAATGGAGATGGGCTTTTCTCTGTGGCCATAGTGGGCCAGGCTAGGAGCCATGCCCTCAAGCTGCAGCAGGGGAAATTTTGGTTGGAGATGAGGAGGAACTTTTTGACTATAAAGGTGGCTGAGTATTGGAACAAGCTGTCTAGAGAAGCTATGCAATCTCATGCTTGAAGTTTTCAAGAGCAGGTTGGACAAACACTTGGATGGGATGCTTTAGTCAGGGATGATCTGGCCTGGAACAGGAGACTGGACTAGATGACTCTTGAGCCCGACTTTCCTATGATCCCCAGGGATGGTGCTTTAGTTGGTCTGGACAGGCCGTTATTGGACGTGCTCATTGCTAATGCTAAGCATGAGGTTTATCCCTCCCTTGCTTCCTTTAAACAAAGGAAAATTAACTCCAGGATTTCTGTCAATTGAGGTTCAAAATCATGTGAAAGTTAGGGCGTGGCACTAGGACTGACTGTGACACACTTGGCTACAAACTCAAGTCCCTGACGGGGACAGTGACACTCGGCTACTTTCCACGAACTCGATTTACTGAGTTGATAATGGGCTGTTGCTGTGATTCTCAACCAAGCTGTGGTGGCATGCTGGGATACTGAGAGATCCTTTGAAGGGTGCCACGCACTGTTAGCACTGTTAGGTGTGCAGCCACCCACACTTGATTCACAAGATCAACCCAGACATTTCCAATAGGAACCCAAGGTGTCAAAACCATTCTGCTCTTCTGTGGTCTTTCTGAATGTATTGCAATGGAAGAACTGCTCTAATATTTTTCCATAAGCTAAAAAAATTAGCAAAACCAAAGATTTGGCCTTTTCCAAGGGGGTCTCGAGTCTAAGGAGGGGATCTTTGAGTCTCAAAGAGCTGAGAATCACTAGTCTGTGAGTACCCACAAGCACTGTATGTGTAACAGTGGAGACTTCATGCTTCAAAGCTGCTTTTCCTCACTGATTTTTGAACTTTTCAGCAATGATGACTTTTTTTAGATAGTGTGAATAGAGCAGAGCTTGGACCCAGGCACGCATACCTCCTGCTGCTCTCTTTGCAAAGCTGGGCCACGGGCATGCTATGCGTTGCCTGGCCAAGCTGTCCTTGGAGGGGGCTGGGAGAGTGATGGGCACCGTGCAGGACAAAAAACAAGGTCCGTCGCTGTCTTTCCAGGGAGAGAAAGACTGGCAGAAGTACGAAGTAGCCCGGCGCCTGAAGGGTGTTGTGGACAAGATCCGCTCCCAGTACCGAGATGACTGGAAGTCCAGGGAGATGAAGACACGGCAAAGAGCTGTGGCCCTTTACTTCATTGATAAGGTACTGGCTACCCTCCCTCTGGTTCAGCTTCTAGCCTGGGCTGTGGTCATGCCTGCCAGTAGCACACGATGCAGAATAACCCATGAGCATGATGGTCCCCTGAGCTCTGGGGGTAGCCGGTGCCTGTTACAGTCCACATCGGTAGACTGGTTTATATTGCAGCATGCAGTTGCCGCACATTTGGGTTGCAAGAGATAGCACTGAATGTCACCATGAGGTAGGGTCTTTCCTAGGCAGTTCAGGCTGGCCCATGCCTGTTCAGGCAGCTGCCACTCAGCAGACCATGGCACAGCCCATACACCTAGGAGAGGTCGGGTTGGTGACACCTAGGTTAAATCTGGTCCAAGACATCAGTGATCTGCTGTGTCCTCTTCTGATAGGTAAGGGGGCTACTGTCTCGAAGCAGCATAGTATCTGCATGTAACATCACTGGATGCCTTGCAAAGGTGCAGAAGGACTAGCCCTGGAAGCTGATCACCTCTGTCTCCAGGGAAGGGATGCTGGCAGGAAAAGGCCTGGTCCTGTCTGCCATCCCAGTCTGGAGCATCCTCTGTAGCACAGACAGCATTCACCTATTGCATTTGCATTGTCACTGCACAGAAGTTGCCTTCCAGCAGGGCTGGGCTTGGTGCTGACTTTGGGGATCTAGACACCTTTTTTTCCCCCCAAGGAGCAGAATTGAGACATGCTAGCCTGTGCCACCTAACAGCTGTGGCATGGTACAGGAAAACACATGGGTCCTGTCCCGTAGGACTGGAGCCAGTATCCTGCCTCCAGGCTGCAGTCCCAGCTGTTTCGGAGGCAGAATTAGGAGCTGTGGGGGAGTCGAAAGGCTCTACAGCTTTTGGCCCATGCCCAACGGCATCTCATTCCTGAGCTGTGCCTGCCTTTCTCTGATCTTAGCTCTGAGCATAAGGATGTGCCTGTGATAAAGCTTGTCATAAAGACGTCTGAAAGTCGTCTCTGCACATACAAACATGGGCACAAGTGCACCTGGCACTGAGAAATGCTACTTTTTAAGGCAGCATACAGCTGCTGCAGTGCACGGAGCTGTACAAACCTTGAGCAGACAGGAGCAAATGGTGCTTACCCTGGTTTGGTGCTGAGGCTGTTCAGTAGGGGAGGAGGGGTTTCTAAGCTGTATGTTATCTTCCTGGCACTCTCCTAGCTGGCCTTGAGAGCCGGGAATGAGAAGGAGGAAGGGGAGACTGCAGACACGGTTGGTTGCTGCTCCCTGCGCGTGGAGCACATCAAGCTTTACCCGGAGCTGGACGGGCAGGAGCACATGGTGGAGTTCGACTTTCTTGGGAAGGACTCGATCCGCTACTACAACAAAGTGCCCGTGGAGAAGCCGGTGAGCTGGGTGGGGAGGGAGGGGGTGAAAACCCACTGAGCCCATGCTCCCAAGGGTACAGCTGTCAGTGGCCCCATCAGTGCAGTATCCCAAGCACCTCGTTATCTCCGGGGCAGGACAAGGCATGTCTGTTAGTCCCATTGCAGCGATGGGGAAACTGAGGCACAGAGCCCCTAAGAGACTTGCCAGAGGACACCCAGGGAAGTCTGTGGTAGAGAAGAGACTTTGAACTTGGGTCCCCCAGATCTAAGGCTAGTGACTGAGCTGCCCTCACTAAGTTTAGGCTTGTGATTAGGGTGTCAGGCAAGTGAGATGGGGCTGCCCCAAGGTGGGAAAGGGGTTCATGAGACATGGATGTGGATCAGATCCGCCTAAACTAGCACTTACCCCAGGCAAAAGTGAGTGGTATGTCAGCAGCCAGAGCTCGATCAGCAGCTGGTGCAAGTTGGGTCAGATGTGGCCTGCCTTGGAGAGATGCACTGCTGCACCTTGGCACGTTCTAGCTCAGAGCCTGTCCCATCTGTCCCAGCCCCTTCCTCCTCTCGGCTTTGTACTGATGCTTGGCACGGGTCGACTTGTGTGTGATCTGCTATGCCATCGGCTCACGGCCACACATCGCTTTGTGCCATTGTGTTGGCATGTGCAGGTTGGGGAAAGGGGTTGAAATGCACTCGAGGGACTGGCTCCAGTACAGAGGCAGAGCAGTACCCTGGGCTGTTGCTGCCTGCCTGGGGCTGTGCTGGTGTTAGGGTAATGGTTTTCTCTCGATCCCAAGTGGAGAGCCTGGCTTGAGGGTTTGGGTGCTTTGCTCCTGCCTGCTCTGGACAAGCCAGTGCATCTGTGCAGCAATCTGCAGAGATGTCAGCTTGGGTCCCAGAGTCTGTATAGCTGCATCCACCCAGCGTCCCCCTCCCTGCTTATCTCCACTGCACTACATCTAGGTCCAGAGCTACATGGGTTGTATGAGCAAGGAGCTGCACCCTCAGGGGCGATGCCCACCACTTCTGTTGTGCTCATGGGCAAGATGGTGTTCCTCATATCCATCTGCCCTTGCTGCCTACCAGGGCATGCAATGGGCACGAGGCTCAGTGCAGAGGGATAGAGGTTCCCAGTGGAGCCAGGGGCTTGGGCCAAGAAACCTGTGCCTGCTGAAGAGCTGGGCAATAGGTGTGTGACCCCATTGAGACAGCCATGGGTGACGGGGTGCCAAGAGAGGAGTTCTCCTGCCCCGCCTGAGCGAGGGACCCCCAGCCATGCCTCTTGTCTTGCAGGTGTTCAAGAACCTGAAGCTGTTTATGCAGAACAAGGATCCGGGGGACGACCTCTTTGACAGGCTGAGTGTGAGTTTGGGAGAGTGGGGGGCAAGCTGTCCCCTCGGAGCACCTCGGCCTGGCCCAGGCGGTCTCCGCTCCTGAACCTTGCCTGGGCTCTGGCTTTGCATTGAGTCATGTATCAGCAGTCCAGATATATCACCTCTTTTCATGGCTACCCCTGGGCTTCCAGGATCCACAGGCCTCTCTTTTCCTCCTCATGCCGTGATCAGAGCCTGGGTTTGGCCTGATTCCCCTACAGCGGTCCCTCTGAATGCATCCTGAAATGTTTCTCCCTTGGGGTGTCCCTTGCAACCAAGTCCCAGGGACATTGGCTCTTAGAGCAGTTTAAACTCCACAAAGCCTGCCTGGATGCTCACAATCAGCTTCTCCTGATCCAGCCAGGATTGCATGCATCTCAGGAGGTTAAACTGAAGCAGACTTAGGGTGTACATCAGCTTAGATCCATTGATATTTGGTTTTTCACTAGGCTTCCTCCGATTTCAGCAGAGCTAGCTAGTCCCCCTCTCCCCGTTCTCCCTGGTTGAAGCCGACTGGGTTATAAAAATGGAAGATGGCAGGCTTGATATTTTTCCAGGCTTTCTTTTAATTGCTTTCCTCCCTCCTCCCCCTGCAGACCGGCAGCCTGAACAGTTACCTGCAGGATTTGATGACGGGACTCTCAGCGAAGGTGTTTCGAACCTATAATGCTTCCATCACCCTGCAAGAGCAGCTGAAAGCCCTCACCAACCGTAAGGCAACCTCTGCCTGGGTAGACTGGCAGCTCCCGGGGGTTGGGGTCTGTGAGATACAAGCAGATAACCTTCCTGACCTCGCTGTAACGTTGTTGGCTCGCTGCACTACCAGCCAGCTGTTACCCCGGGCTTATTTTGCTAGTTATTAGCTATAGACAAGACCTCCGATGCATCCTATGTTCTCCTAGTCCCCCCCCACCTTTCTTCTGGTAACTAGTAAGTAATTCTTCACTGCAAATAATGAGGCAGTGGGATAGATGCCAGGGAAGGTATAGACTTTCCATCGCTGGAGGGGTTCAAGGAGAGCCACTGGTGATGGATGATCGAGGTGCAGTGATGCCTGCAGGTTTTTGTGGCAAGAGGGTCTTGCCCCTCCACTTGGGGGTAAACCGATGCTTCATCTGGGGTCAGGAAGGGATTTTTACCCCATGGTCAGACTGGTATGGACTGCGGGGGTGGTCTTTTTTGACCTCCTCTGTAGTGGGGGCATGGCCTATCTGGGACCTCTCGAGCGTATGTTGACTTTGCAAAAGCAGGACTTTGGCTGCCGTGTTTCCCTTGCTTTACCTGTGGCAGGTTTGGGTGCTAGGTCTATGTTGTGTCAGGGTTGAGGGAAGTCTTATGTAGAGGTTAGATTATGGTTGGGTGGGATGGTTTGGATAGCATTGCTCCTGCCGCAGGCAGTGGGTTGGACTGGATGCAACCTCTGGAGGGCTCTTCCAGCTCCATTTCTTTGACTGATGATGCAAAAGCCTAGATAGATGTCTGTTGCAAATCTCCTAATTTCTTCCTCCCCCCTTCCCACATCAGAAACCTGTAAGGTTCAAGCTGCTTCCATTTCCTACCCCATGTGTCTGATGGTAGCATTATTTTTCCAGCTGAAGACAATGTAGCTGCCAAACTGCTGGCGTACAACCGAGCCAACCGGGCCGTGGCCGTTCTGTGCAACCATCAAAGGGCAACACCCAAAACCTTTGAGAAGTCAATGCAGGCCCTCCAGGCCAAGGTAAGGGTGGCAGGGTGTGGGTAATGTCCGGGGTGCTAATGGGGTGGTGTAGTGTTGATGTTGTGGGGGGCTTGGTCGGTCCAAAGCATGTGTGGAGTGTGGTGGGTGCAGAGATCCCACCTCAGGAACACAGC